TGCCTTTCTCTTTTCGTCGCCCATTTTTCTTTTCTTCTGTGCGACTGGCCGAGCGTCTCTACATACTGCTAGTCGGTGACATAGGAATCTAGGGTCTATCCCCGGCATATCCGACGCTTTCCATGCAAACAAGTCTCTGTTGTCTTGAACCGCTTGCTTCACCTGGTTCGAATCGTTTTCGTTCAGCTGAGATCCTATGTGTGTGACCTGTTCGGGTGTTTGCCCGAGTTGGAAAGGAACGAGGTCTTCGGCTGGCTCGATTCGATCCTCCTCACCCAGGCGTGGGTCGAGATCTAAGCCCTCTGTCATCTGTCTTATTACATTTACGCCTGACAACGTTGACGGGGGGTCGGATACGGGACGGACCTTTAGGCTAGAGAGATAGCATTCTCTTGCTGTCTTCTGGTCGGCATGAACGGTTATTACCTGTCCATCTCTCGATTAAAAGTCAAGACTTTTAAGATCGGTTATATAACAACCGATTTTAAAAGTCAAGACTTTTAAGATCAGTTAGAAATCAACCGATCTTAAAAGTCTACTTTTAAAATCGGTTGATAACCGATCTTAAAAGTCTACCTTTTCAAAATCGGCTCTTTTAAGATCAGTTCCATAACCGATTTTAAAAGTCCAAAATAACCGATTTTAAAAGCCTTTTTTCCACTAGTGTATATACATCACCCAACACATAATTTTACTCAAAATCAACAAGCAACAACTAGAGACCAAATCACCATTTTTTGTTTTTAGCTTACTTCCAAACTCATACCTCAACCTCCAAGTATTCAAACTCGTCCTAAGAAACACTATAACTATTTTTACAAGAAGAATCATCTAAATGCAACTCAAAACATCAAACAAGTTTATCATCTAACATCCCTTATCTCAAATCAAACTAACAATGAGTAAGGGGAAGAAGGGAGTGTAGACACTCAATTTCGTCCAGGGGCATACAAACAAGGACATGGACCTCTGTTATGAAGGGAAGGAGCTCTCAAAGCATGCCAACAAGAAGACAGGACCTTAAGGGGCCCAAAAGCACAAGTTAAGTTTTTCATTGGCCCGGAACGGGCCGTTCCAAAATCGGAATGGAAAGCGTCGGATATGTCGGGGATAGACCCTAGATTCCTATGTCACCGACTAGCAGTATGTAGAGACGCTCGGCCAGTCGCACAGAAGAAAAGAAAAATGGGCGACGAAAAGAGAAAGGCAGCCGATGCCGAGGTGAAAAAATTGTTGCAAGCAAAGTTCATCAGAGAGGTCACTTACACGACTTGGCTAGCCAACGTAGTATTAGTCAAAAAAACCAATAGGAAATGGAGAATGTGCACCGACTATACCGACCTCAATAAGGCCTGCCTCAAGGATGCCTACCCACTCCCTTGTATCGACCGACTAGTTGACGGAGCGTCCGGACATTCAATCTTCAGCTTCTTGGATGCTTATTCCGGTTACAACCAAATAAGGATGCACTCGGCCGACGAGGAGAAGACGGCGTTCATAACCGAGAGCGCCAACTTTTGTTATAAAGTGATGCCGTTTGGGTTGAAGAACGTCGGAGCGACCTACCAGAGGTTAATGGACAAGGTGTTTCAGGGACAAATCGGCCGAAACATCGAAATATATGTGGATGATATGGTAGTCAAGTCCAACTCTCTGTCCGGACACTTAGCCGACTTAGCCGAAATCTTCGGTGAGCTCCGCAAGCACAACATGAGACTCAACCCCGAAAAGTGCACCTTCGGGGTCAAAGGAGGCAAATTCCTAGGTTTCATGCTATCCGCGAGAGGCATAGAAGCGAACCGAGACAAATGCCAGGCCGTGTTAGACATGCGAAGCCCGAGCAACCTCAAGGAACTGCAGCGCCTCTCGGGAAGGTTGGTCGCCCTATCCCGATTCCTCCCACGGCTAGGCGACAAGATCAGTCCGATGACAAAGCTCTTGCGAAAGGCTTCGGCCTTCTCATGGGATGAACAATGCGAAGCCGCCTTCGCAACGTTGAAGACAACCCTGGCGACCCCGCCGACCCTCACGAAGCCTGATCCTCTAAGTCCGCTACTTGTGTACTTGGCCGTGTCCGAGGAGGCGATCAGTTCGGTTCTGGTGCAAGAAAAGGAAGGCACCCAGGCTCCTATATATTTTATCAGCCGACAACTGCAGGATTCTGAAACCCGATACCAATTGATAGAAAAGGTGGCACTCAGTTTAGTACATGCTTCCCGACGCCTACGTCATTACTTCCAAAGCCACCGAGTTATCGTGCATACCGACTGTCCAATCGCTAAGGTATTAAGCAAACCCGAACTCGCCGGAAGGATGATGGCCTGGTCAATGGAACTCTCGCAATTTGATATTACCTTTAAGCCGAGGGGACCGATCAAGGCCCAATGCTTGGCCGACTTCATAAACGAACTTCACCCTCACGGCCAATTTGAACAACAGTGGTGGACCCTCCATGTAGACGGATCCTCAAACAACCAAGGGAGCGGGGCAGGGGTAATCTTAGAAGGACCGAGAGGGATAACTTTAGAGCAATCTTTGCGCTTCCGGTTCAAAGCTTCAAATAACCAAGCCGAGTACGAAGCCCTATTGGCCGGATTGAGGTTGGTCGAGGACATGGGTGCATCAAGAATCAAGTGCCGCACCGATTCCAAAGTAGTGGTCGAGCAGGTGGGCAGAAATTTTCAAGTAAAGGACCACATGATGTTGAGATACTATCATGCCTATCAAAAATTGAAGGCGAATTTCCAGGAGGTGCTGGTCGAACACATCCCCC